TCTTAGTTAAATTCTTGAATCCATTTGATCCCATTTCGAATTTCTTGAACCTACTTGATACGAAATCTAGATCAGTCATTGGATTGGACGTATAAATAATATTGGCATTTTTGTTGTGTTTATGCTCGTTTTATGCAAAACATTTGATATCATATCACTTTTTAATGTCTTGTTCATTTTTCAAAAGTTTGTATATTTCTTAAATTTATTATGTCATGATATTCTTTTAAATCTTAAGGGTTTCTGTAAATTTTATTTTTAATTTTTTTGGGGACAGACTTTTCAATGTTGATACCATTTAAGACCAAGATAGAGTAAATGAGCTAAATACTTAAAACAATACTATATGAATTTTATTCAAAAAATGACACGCACAATACGTGTTGAAGACATGCATGGGCACGGGCAAGAGCTAGCCGAACAATAACTACAGTGCATGTGTATATGTATTGTTTTCAATCACCCAATTAATGTAAGTTTAGAAGACTATACTTAAACACTTGAAAAAATTTTATATACAAACAAGTGTGGTTTAAGATTCTCATGAAAAAAACTTTGATTTTGAGTTGTTAAAGGTATTTTTTTAAAAAACTTGACTAGACTTATATTAGTAATTTTGTATGAAAGTCAAAAACTAATTTTTAATTTAAGATCCCAAGTACTTCATAAGACAACAACTTTCCTTACTGTCGTATTTTTATGAGTTTGAAAAAAAATTCAAAATTATCTTTGGCAATTCAAAATCAACAAAATTTTTGTAGTGGGAATCTCAAACCTCACGTTGTTTATATATGATTTTTTCTCCAAATGTCTAAATACAATATTATAAACATGCCCTCATTAAGTGATTGAAGATAATGTTTATAGATATACACTAATTGACTTGTGTTTGTGCTTGTTTTGTGTAGATACATGTCTTTAACATGTATCGTGTTATTTTTTAAATAAAATCCATATAATTTTTTAGAATTTAACTCATTGTTCTTTTTTTTTTTTATTAATTCATTTTGATTTTGGATAACATTAAAAGGGTGCCATTTTATTAAATAGGCATCATTCTTGTAATATTATCCTTTATTTTTCATGTTCGTACTACCAATGCTGATAGAGAGTAAGAAAAAGAAATTAGATCGTGACAGAATTTGGTAAAATGATTCGAAGTTTATTTTTAAAAGGGTAGACAAAATAATTGACGTTTTTATTTAAATTTTGTAATTTTTCCACTAAATTTAAATAAAAGAAAACATAATTCAGGAGATGGGTTCTTTGAATGTTTAGTAGTGGACTTGCATCTTCAATTGAGTCTTTAAGTTCCATAAACCAAGATTTACATTGGTAGTTGCATCAACAAAGATTGGCTATGCTTTTAGTAGTGGAGTTCATTCAAAGAAGAAATAAATTGTTCATTATAGTTTGTTGATTTATACATGTTACAAAGCCAATAAATTGTTCATTATAGTTTGTTGATTTATACATGTTAAAAGTTGTGGCCAATTTCTTACTTTTGAAACTTTAGCGGAGAAAACACAAATTTACTCGTACAATATTGACCATTGTGTAGTTTACCCTTTTTAATTTTATATATCCACTGTGTCATGTCAACAACCCGTTAAAGGTCTAACGACAGTTAATCTTCAGTAACCACATATTAATTAAATACAATTAAAAGTGATCAAATATTCTATTTTTTTAATTTAATGAGAAAAAAAATACAAAACTTAAACGAAAGTGATCAATTGTGTAGTTTACCCTTTAAAAATTAAAAAATAGAAGCTTAAAAAAATTAAAAATTTAAATGGTTTAATTTACTTTTTTAAGAAAAATTATAGTCTAAGTAAAATATTTAAAAATTTTAAGATTTAATAAGATTTTTAATAAAATTTTTTGAAATTTTAAAGAAATCAAACTAAATGTTTTAAAATATTTAAGAGATCAAATACTAATTTGGTAAAAGTTGGGGGTCAGGCTCCTCTTCTGGCCGCTACGGTCCATCCTTGGTTTGGAAATAGTGATACAATATTGGGTAAACTACACGATCAGTACCTAAAATATAAATTTTATTCCGTTTTAGTATCTAAACTTTCATTTTTATAAAATCATATCTAATGTTACTTTTTATTTCATTTTAGTACCCTGTATTTACTTTTTTATTTCATTTTAGTACCCCATTTTTAACTTTTTTTGTTTCATTTTAGTACCTAACTTTTTAACGGTGGGGTACTAAAATGAAATAAAAAGTAAATTTTAGGTATAGTTTTGAAAAATTAAAAATTTAGGTACTAAAACGGAATAAAAATGATAATTTACATACTAAACATGCAATTTACCCTATAATTTTTTGGAATAATATTAGATGTGATGTTATATGATAAGCGTCAATTTTAAAAAGTAAACTTTTAATGAAGATATTTGAATAATTTAATAAAAATACCATGGTTATCAAAATAGGATCGGACTGGCTGGTTCAACCGGTTGAACCGTGAATCAATGGTCTGTCCGGTTCGGTTAACTTCCAAAACCAGTTTTGCAATGAACCGGTTGAAAACCGGTAGAACTGGCTGAGAACCAGTAAAATCGGTATGAACCGACTGAAAACCGGCATAATCGGTGTGAACCGTCGGTTCTGTTTTTTCTTTTTTTTTAAAAAAAATTAAACCAAACAACGTCGTTTGTTAAACGAGCCAAGTCGAACTCGAGTATTGCTGAGCTCGACTCGAACTCGAAAACTTTAAAAGTAAGCTCAACTCGACTAAAAAACTCACAAGCTAAAAATTATCAAGTTCAACTCGAACTCGAATTATAATATTGAAACTTGAACTCGAAAAGGCTCAAACTCAAAAAAAAATTAGAAGTTCGATTGAAGCCTGAAATTCGAGCTCGATTGAAGCGAAAGAATAGTTCGCTTTGTGCTCACCAAAGACTCCATGATTTTGAATGCCAAATCACTTCTATTATTTATAGAAGTCAGTTGGGATGCTCTTCTGTGTTTCTTAGCCATGTGAGATTGTTTTGTTATCATATTTTTACTCTTTAGACTTTTGGGATGCTCTTCTATGTTTCTCAGCCATGTGAGATTATTTTTAAAAAAAAAAAATAAACCAAACGACATCGTTTGTTATGATTTTTTTCAGCCCCAAATTTATTTTTTTAATTATAGTTATATAATTATATTTATTATTTAACATGTTTTACCTTAAATATTATGTTGTAGTTGATTTGAAGCATTTTGTTTCCCTTGATTTTATGGTTTTTAACTTATATATGTTATGACTTGTTATATTTTTATACCTTTTAATATTGTAAATTTAAAAAAAGTGTTACATATATATTAATATTACTTTGAATATTATGTAAAATTAAAAAAAAATATTATTTTATATAAAATTTGGTTCAAACCAATTGAACCACATTAAATTAATGAACAAATATCTTCACCGGTTCAAAGTTCGATCCGATTTTAAAATCATTGAAAAATACCAAGACCCTTCTACACACTTTTTATAACTTCTGCGCAGAAAAATAATTAATGGCAAAAGAAAAAAAATGAAATCGATGGAAGATAATTTACATAAGATGACATCAAAGGCCACCAGAAGAAGAAGCTTTCAGAAAACAAAATAAAATAAAAAAAAGTATGTGTTTTTTAAGGAGTTCACGTTATTTTTTTTATTTTTTTAAAATTCTTAATAATTATAAAGTTATATTTATTTAAAAATTTCTAACCTATTGCCTACATAAAGCACACATATAAGGACATAATTGTTATGATTTATAACTTTTTTTTAAATAATAGTATTTTATTTCACCAATAACACTTCACCAATAATCAGTTGGTCTAGTGATATAAATCATTAGATCTTTTAAGTAAGATTAGAGTTTGAATCCTAGCGATTATGAATAGAGTCTTTTCCTTTGTAGTATTCGATCCGAATTAATCGATTAATAGATCAGAAACCAATGATTATACAAAAAGATGTAACTTGTATTAGTAGTACTTACAAGAAAAATTAATTGTATTAAAAACAATAATAAGGGTAAATTCCATATTTAATATTTTAATGATTATTTTTGTTCTACTTTGATATAAAAATATTTAACGGTACATTCTGATTTTTATTTTGATTATCTAAAACATAAAAAATTGTTGATATAACATTTTTATATTTTTTAATGATGATATAATATTATCTTATAATGACACATCAACATCGTCATTAATTTTTAAATAACATGTGATTAAAATGAAATTAAAACTAAATGCATGCATAATTTTTTAAAAAAGATAGTTGAATGATAACAACAAAATAAAAATAATAGTTGGGGTAAACTTATAATTAACACTAATAATAATTTTTTATTAAGCTAAAGTGATTACAAAGTAGTATATGTTCTAAATACTATTAACTATTTGACAATGAACGTTCAATCACCATGCTACAATTGTGATGCTCGAACCCATGACCTCTAGGAATAACAATAATTCCTTTAATCATTGAGGTAAGTTAGTTCGTGTCCTAATAATAATTTCTGTGTTATATAGAGTACAACAAATAAAAATTTGGTTAAATTATACGCTTAGCACCTAAACTAACAGTTTTAGTACCTAAACTTTTAATTTTTTTCAAAATCATACATAAAGTTTAATTTTTGTTTCATTTTAATATCTCGTTCAAAATTTAACATTACATTTTGAAAATATTAAAAGTTTAAGTACTAAAATAGACCAAAACTAATAATTTAAACACTAAAAGCATTAAATTTTTAATAAGGAATATTAAATTGAAATAAAAACTAATATTTTAAAGAAAAAAATTTATATATTAAAATATATTAAAATTGATAGCTTAGATATTAAATGTATAATTTATTCTAAAAATTAATGAAAGACGAATAAAATACAGGGTACACCCGGTTGACGCTTACTTTAGTAACTTTTACTTGTGAGACAGCTAGGGTAAACCCCTTTCTTCTTGGCCTTCGTTCATCACTACCCTCACCCACTCTTTACCTATCAGCACACAAAAAATGCTCTTCCATTAACATTCTCACTGCTCTTCTCTTCTCTTTCCCTTTCTTTTCTTCTCTTCTTTCAATGCCTCTTAATCCAATCTAAGGCAGAAAAGAAGAAGAATAGCAGTTTCAGTTCATAAAACCCCACCCACATTGTCCTCGTCTTCACCAGCGTCCAAAAATGCCAACCCGATTTTTCTTCTTTGCCATTCTTTCTTTACTCTTACTGCAGCTCGCCGAACCAGATCTCGTCACCGACAGAGCTTCCCTTTTGGCGCTCCGCTCCTCGGTCGGAGGCCGAACCCTTCTCTGGAACATCTCCAACCAGAGTCCCTGCACCTGGGCTGGGGTTAAGTGCGAGCTGAACCGCGTTACGGTGCTTAGGCTACCCGGTGTTGCTCTCTCCGGCGAAATCCCCACCGGCATTCTCGGCAACTTAACTCAGCTGCGTACCATCAGTCTCCGTCTCAACTCGTTAACCGGACAACTCCCTTCGGATCTTTCTCTTTGTCGGAATCTCCGGAACCTTTACTTGCAGGGGAACCGGTTGTCCGGTGAGATGCCGGAGTTTCTGTTCGGTCTTCATGCTTTGGTGAGGCTGAATCTTGGTGGGAATAATTTTTCTGGGGAAATCCCTGTTGGGTTCAGCGATTTGACGAGGTTAAGAACTTTGCTTCTTGATAGCAACAGCCTTTCTGGGTCGGTGCCTGATCTGAGTTCTTTGAAGAATCTCGCTCAGTTTAATGTGTCGAATAATTTGTTGAACGGCTCAATCCCCAAGGGGTTACAGAAGTACGGGTCCGATGCGTTTCTGGGGAATTTGCTTTGTGGAAAGCCACTTGAGCCTTGCCCTGTTACTGCTACTGATGCGCCTGGGAATGCAAGTGAGCCAGCTAATCCATTGAGTGTGGCTAAACCAGGGGAAAAGGAGGAGGAAAAGAAGAGCAAGTTGTCTGGGGGTGCAATTGCAGGTATTGTTATCGGATCTGCGGTGGGATTTCTACTGATTGTTATGGTTTTGATGATTTTATGTAGAAAGAATAGTAGCAAGAAATCGAGGTCAAACGACATCGCTTCCATTAAAAATCAAGAAATGGAGATTCCTGGGGAGAAATCTGAAATGGAGAATAGTGGATATGGGAATGGGAATTCGTATTCAGTGGCTGCCGCCGCTGCAGCGTCAATGGTGGGTGGTGGTGGAGCCAAAGCCGCCGAAAACAGCGGCAGCAGAACAAAGAAGTTGGTTTTCTTTGGGAATGCGAGGAGAGTGTTCGATTTGGAGGATTTGTTAAGAGCTTCTGCAGAGGTTTTAGGCAAAGGAACGTTCGGAACTGCATACAAAGCAGTGTTGGAAGGTGGAGATGCAGTGGCTGTTAAGAGGCTAAAGGATGTAACGATCTCTGAGAGGGAATTTAAGGAAAAGATTGAAGAGATTGGAGCTATGGATCATCAACATTTGATCCCTCTTAGAGCTTTCTATTTTAGTGGAGACGAGAAGCTTCTTGTCTATGATTACATGCCCATGGGAAGCTTATCTGCTCTTTTGCATGGTGTGACCACTTCAATCCTGTTTTTAGTTGGCTTCTAGTTTTGATTCCATTGTGAAGATAACCATAGAATGAATTCTTTTAGTATTACCATCTAACTGACGATCCATTTTGTATGCCTCAATTATCTCTGTTGAGATTATAGGTTGATTCTCTTTTACAGTGTTATTTCAAGTAATTCTTCATTTACCTCATAGTCTGTAATGGACTGGTAGTTCAGTACTTACCTTTAACAGTTCTTTCATTTCACTGTTAATGTTTTGGAATGCAGGGAATAAAGGAGCAGGAAGGACTCCATTGAACTGGGACATTAGATCTGGACTTGCTCTTGGAGCTGCCTGTGGCATTGAATACCTGCACTCTCAAGGCCCTAATGTCTCTCATGGAAACATAAAGTCGTCGAATATCCTCCTCACTAAATCCTACGAAGCTCGAGTCTCAGATTTTCGCTTGGCAAACATTGTAGGGCCTTCGACCAGTCCCAATAGAGTGCTTGGGTACAGGGCACCTGAGGTGATTGACCCCAGTAAAGTGTCTCAAAAGGCTGATGTTTATAGCTTCGGTGTGTTGCTTTTGGAGCTATTGACCGGGAAAGCTCCAACCCATTCGGTTTTGAACGAAGAAGGGATTGACCTTCCAAGGTGGGTGCAGTCTGTTGTTCGCGAGGAATGGACTTCCGAAGTGTTTGATCTTGAGCTCCTCAGGTATCAGAATGTGGAGGAAGAGATGGTCCAACTCTTGCAACTTGCAGTGGATTGTGCTGCACAATACCCTGACAAGCGCCCCACCATGTCTCAAGTGAGGAGCCGAATCGAGGAGCTTCGTCGTTCAAGTTTGCTAGATGATCTGACCGCACTGCCCACCTGATAAGATGGACGAAGATGTCCCGGACGAGTTAGCTGGTTAGCTCGAGCAGAGGCCTCCACACACCATTTTGTGTGATGGGGGTGGGGTAAACGGAATTATCAAAATTTCTTTTCATTTTCTTCTTTTATTTTCGATGTCCATTATTAGCATGTTAAGTTTGGTGGCCTTAGGCCTTGTTGTATGCCTGATTCTCTCTCGGTATCTTATTCCTTTAATAGGTGTCCCATTGTCGTCATTTTCTTTCTCTTCTTGATTATATTTTCTTTTTCATTTATACTTGAGGTGGAAGTATATGATCTATTTGGTTCGGGTTGGGTGGATACTGGGTAGTTGTAATCATTACTTTTTCTTTTGCCTTTGCAGCTTTTTATATAAGTTACAGGGATTGTCTAATGATAGGCGGAATCATTATTTTTCTTTTGCCTTTGCAGCTTTTTATATAAGTTACAGGGATTGTATAATGATAGGCGGAATCATTACTTTTTCTTTTGCCTTTGCAGCTTTTTATATAAGTTACAGGGATTGTCTAATGATACGCATATAATATTATAAAGAAGTGTGACTGAAAATTTAATAAGATATTTAATAAAGTCGGTTAAGTTCTACCGGAAATGTTGATTACAAGTAATGTTGTAGGTGAAAAATATGAAATATTAAAAATTTTAGTAACCGATAAATTTTGTTTATCGGTAGGTATCGATATATTGTACAGAAGTATCGATATATATCGAAGTATATAATAAAGTGAAGAAAACGGGTTAAAAGTATACATGTATTGATACATTTATAAATATATGCATAAAAGTATCAATACTTTAGTAATTTAAAATAATTGCAATAAAAGCGCCTATAAAGTATCGATACTTTACACACATGTATTGCCAAAAGAGGTAACGAATTTGATAAAATTGGTTGGTAATTGACAAAACTGGTTTCGATTTGATAAAACCGGTAAAGATCTATCATAATTGTTGAAATTTGTATCAGTATGTTTATAAGTATATGTATCAAAGTATCAATATTGTAGGAATGTAAAAGAATTGCAATAATAGCGGCTAAATAGTATCGATACCTTACACACATGTATCGATACATGACAATATAACATGTTGAAATTTGACAAAACCAGTAAAGAGATATCGAAATTGTTGACAATATCGATACTTTTATAAGTATGTGTACCGAAGTATCGATATTATAGGAATTAAATGAATAATAGCGCCTTTAAAGTATCAATACCTTAGACACATGTATCGATACACGATAATATAACATGTTGAAATTTAACATGTATCGATACCTGAATTGTTGAAAGTATTGATACTTTTATAAGTATATGTATCATAGTATCGGTACTTTAGGAATTGAAAAGAAATTGAAAAAGGAAAACTTCTCGAAATTATCGATACCTTATACAAAAGTATTGACACTTGGGGAATGATATCGATTAAATGTAAATAACTTAACAAGTTAAAATATCAAAGGCATTACTAATATAGAATTTGAAGGGGCACCGCGAAATAGAAGCAAGGCGTTTTTGAAAGCGTAGTTGTTTGTTTATTGCTGCAATCGAATCGAAAGGTATGTTGTGGAAACCCTTGTTTTTTAGTATTGTAGTATTCAGAAATAGGGGTTAGGTTTTAGGGTTTGGGGTTTTCGAAGTAAAAAATGATTTGAGACCGATTATAGGTAGAAAGTGATATTCTAGGTAGAAAATAAATATAGATATTTTTATATAATGTTAGGTAGAAATTGATATTGTAGGTTGCATAAAGGTACCGATACTTGTTGTAGAGATACAAGTAACTTGTATATTGAATAAATTATATGTAACTTGTATTTTATTTGATTTGATTTAATTTAATGCTTGAATGTTCATAAACTGATATATGAAGGAAAAATGAAGTCAATGGATCTTGCAATCGTTGTTCGTGAAGATGACATTGAAATGGAGCCTGAGAGTATCAACAATAAAGAAAATCAAAAGCAACCACTGGGTGAATATATGCACTTCTAGTAAGTATCAATGTATTTGTGTAATTGTTGTTGAAATGATAATTGTATTAAAGTATTTAAGAACTTGAAATTGATTACATATTTCAAATCTTGACAATATGACTGAATGCCAAATGATGATGAAAGCTGGTAATTATAACACCGGTTCGATATGTAAAATGAAATTGACATTGAGTATTATTTAGCGTTATATTATTGATTAAGAAACTCTTATGCTTAATTTCAGGTGAAACATTAGGTGATGGAGAAATGTAAGTCGATGAGTGATCTGAGAAGGAACCGTATGCGACACTGTCCAAAAAGGATAGACAACAATATAAAACTTGGAGGAAAGCACATGAAAAGAAGGTATTCATTAAACTTGTAAATACAGTGATAAACGATATATAAAAATAGTAACATTATATATTTTAAAAAATATAGGAAGTGTCGACAATATATAGCATCAAAAGAGTGAACTCCATAATTGAACACTTGAAGGAGAATAATAAAGTTCATGTGCTGGAAGAAATGAGGTTTGGATCTTTGATAGGAGTGAGGGATCGACTAATTCGGAAGGAATTGTGTTGATCGTTGATGGAGGAATTTGATGTAGAAAATTGTAGAGTTCAATATGGTGATTATTCATTTCCTCTAAGGGTCCCATGAGTTGTATCTGTATTAGGGCTAGAAGATAAAGGCAATAATGTTGAAGAAGTTATTAAGATGAAGAATTGCAAAGCACTTGCCAGGAAATATGATTTAAAGCCCAAGGTGACATATGCTGGACTTGAGGAGGAAATGAAAAGCAAAGCTATAACCTTAATGCCCGGGTACTATTGTACCTTGTAGGAATCTTTCTTTGTCGAACGGGTGATACATCCCCGAGCAAGGACAATATCAAGTTGATTTGTGACGAAGGGTTGAAAAGTGAATTGAATTGGGCTGACTATGTCCATGTTAAATTGATTGAATCAATAATTATCTTTCAGAAGGGCCGAAACCATATATACCTCAAAGGGTGAATAACAATCTTAGAGGTAAATGAGTTTAAAGATGTGTTGGGTTAGAAAACTTTTAAGTATAATTATTAGAAAATTATAATTTTCATTATAAATGAAGATTGTATTGTTTGATTTTTGGTCTGATTATGCAAGTGTGTCGGCATTTCAAAGAACCAGAGTGACACACATCAGTGTATGGGGAAAGGAAGAAGTAGTTCGAGTGATAGAAAAATTAAAGTTGGAAAGATCGAGCAAGAAAGAAAGGGTAATAAAAGTAATTATATAATATTAAGAATTTTAAAAACTGTATTAATATTGTAATTTATTTTTGAAGGTTATTGGCGAGGAGGAAGAAGAGAAGGTAGAAGAGAAGGTAGAAGAAAAAGAAGAAGAGAAGGTAGTAGGGGGATTATGGTCAGGAGAGTGCAAGTAAATTTGACATTTTGATGTATGAGTTGGCGGAGCTAAAAAAAGCTATTTTTGATTGTTTGGAAGACAATCCAGAATTGAAGAGGAGATTGAAAGCCTTAACGGGGAAATGGGGGGAGTAGTGAAAGAAGTGGTTGAATTGAGGGGTGAATTGAAGGGGGTGATGGGAGAGGTTGAAAAAAACAATTGATGAAGGGGAAAATATGAGGGCTGAAATGAAAGATACAGAGATTTATGTGGAGAAAAAATATGATGAATTTAAAAAAGAAGAAGAAGAAAAGTTTGATGCAGTAAGAAGGAAGGATGTTAATTTTATGGGGACACTAGAGAATGTAATCGCTGTTGACCTAGATTCAGAATTTCCTGTACCTAAGAAGAAAAAGCAGAAGGTAAGATGAATAAAAGGAAATTGAATTTGATTTTTATTATTGTGTTGTGACTAATATTTATAATAAAAATTGTAGGTTGAAAAAGTGAAAATACAAAAAGAAATTGATGCATTTGAAAGTGGAATGTGTGAATATGTATGGAATAGTGGGTTACCATTGAGGTAAGTAATATATATTGCTTTGTGAGTGATATTTAAATATTTCAAGACAAAACATTAATCCAAATTTATTATACAACGAAATTGTAATTGAATTGGGAAACTAATTCGCCACAGTATTCGGCGTTGCAACGTTAAAACCTATGGCATTGGTTAGCGATCTAGTAAGTTGAAAGTATAAATTGTTAAAACCTAATGAATATTTTGTAATTGTGTAATTAATTTTGTTAGGTTATTGATTTGGTCGGTTGGTTGATTAACGATTTGAAGAAGATACCGGGGAAACGGAAGATTGCCTACATTCCTACAATTTTGCAGTGAGTTAAATTAATAATTGTTGAAAAATAGTGTTATGGTTGGTCAATTAATAATGATTGTCAAGGAAATACAGATAATGGTGTTAGAACACATGCCAAGTGTTGATGATGTTGTGGGCTTTTGGGAGTGTATATCGAAATACTATTTGAAATTAACCAATTGAGACAAGGTAAGATACCTATTGATTTGCAAATGGTGTTTTGTATTTAAATATTTATAAAGAAATGTTATATTTTGTTAAATTGGGTGTGACATTTATTGTAGATCTTTATTACAATAAACAAAAATCAGAGCCATTGTATCTTTTGGTGTTGAATATGGTTTCTCGTGTTGCAACGGTTTATGATTGTCTATTTATATCACCAAGGGAAAGGTAGTGCAAAATGCGAGGAAAAGATCGTTGCTAGAGGGTCAACAGATGAATTGGTAAGTGATTGAAAAATTACTTTGGAGTTAAAATGTTAAAAATCGTAGATTGAATGATGTGGTTAACATATTGACAATTTGAATATAGGTTGTAGGAGATTGGGATCGTATGAGAATATTAAACGATCTCATAAGACACAATCAAAATACAAGGAGAGATATGTTGACAATTGCTTGCATGAGACACATTGAAAAATATATGTGATGATGTAAGCCTAATTTTGTATGTATTTATTTAGCAGAGTTAGCTTGTAAATTTTGTATGTGAGTGAAATTTTGTATGTGAAAAAAGTTAGCAATAGGTTGTTATATATGTTTGTTATACATACCAGGTGTTATGATATTTACTATATATGTAGATTGATACTTGTAATATTCTAGTTGTTGTCCTGAGACGTAATAGAGAGATTGGAATTTTAAATGAGCATTAAAAATTTAAGACATCATAGTAAAATAGACATATTAACTCACATCATTGTCATCATTTGCAGGACCGTACGACCATTCTATTTCGTCTTAAAAACAATATGTTGATGTAGGTTGTGTGCT